CAGTGAAAAAAGATTATTATTTTTTTTAAATCCAAGCTATTGTGACACAGGATCTACTCAGTGGCACTTGTCAGCGTATCCACTGTTAGCGTAACACACCCGCTTTAAGGACACTGACTGCTATTCAATCTATAACAGTGAAAAAGATTATTTTTTTTTTAAATCCAAACTATTGTGACACCAGATCTAATTAGTGGCACTTGTCAGCGTATCCACTGTTAGCGTAACACACCCGCTTTAAGGACACTGACTGCTATTCAATCTATAACAGTGAAAAAAGTTTTTTGTTTTTAAATCCAAGCTATTGTGACACCAGATCTAATTGTGGCACTGACTGGGGAAATGGGCACAGTATGCACTGTGAGCCTGACACAGAAGCTGGCAGCAGTGGCAGACAACTGACTGCTATTCAATCTATAACAGTGAAAAAAGTTTTTTGTTTTTAAATCCAAGCTATTGTGACACCAGATGTAATTGGTGGCACTGACTGGGGAAATGGGCACAGTATGCACTGTGAGCCTGACACAGAAGCTGGCAGCAGTGGCAGACAACTGACTGCTATTCAATCTATAACAGTGAAAAAAGTTTTTTGTTTTTAAATCCAAGCTATTGTGACACCAGATGTAATTGGTGGCACTGACTGGGGAAATGGGCACTGTGAGCCTGACACAGAAGCTGGCAGCAGTGGCAGACAACTAAGTGCATTTACATTACATAGAAAAAATCAAAAAAAGCATACCCTTATCCCTAACCTAGCTATGCTTTTCCCTATCTTATGAACAGCAGCTACACTTTCCCTCCTCTTACTAAGCATGCAGCTTGAGAATGAATCTAAAATGGATGCTGTCCAGTAGGTGGGAGGGTCTGCTAGGGAGGCTGTGCTGCTAATTAGCTGGAATGTGTCTGCTGACTGTGAGGTACAGGGTCAAAGTTTACTCAATGATGACGAATAGGGGGCGGGTCGAACCGCGCATATGTTCGCCCGCCGTGGCGAACGCGAACATGCTATGTTCGCCAGGAACCGTTCGCCAGCGAACCGTTCGGTACATCACTATTCTTCATTAGTTTTCTTTACCTTTCTCAGCGTTAAAATATGAAGCAAAATATGAAGCCTCATGTCATGTTGTAAAATTGAAGATTATACCAGCTTGAGTGTACTAATAAGCTTAATTTTAGTAATGCCAGGAAGCAAGTATTTTCCCACCCTGCTTTGCTATCCCACCCTTTCTGGTCGCTTTCTTTATATGTATCACTGGTCTAAGGTAGGTTGGGTTCTTAATGTTTTGTATTTACATTGATGATTTTATTTCCATTGATTTAGAATTGTCATTGGAGTTTTATATGATTGTTGTTCAGTTATCAGATTGTAGTTTACAAATTACTACTATGGAATGATGTATACTGTGTGTTACTTGGATTTCCACATTCATGATCATGTGTCTAAACCTGTCACACATTCTCTTTTTCAGTTTGGTTCGTCCCTGAAGACATTTTGGTTGTTTGTGTGGAATTCACAGGAGGTTTGCTCCTTAGGATGTTAGATTTAGGAGTTATTGTTATTGTTTGTTTGCTTCTGCTTAAAGGACCACTCTAGGCACCCAGACCACTTCAGCTTAATGAAGTGGTCTGGGTGCCAGGTCCAGCTAGGGTTAACCCATTTTTTTATAAACATAGCAGTTTCAGAGAAACTGCTATGTTTATGAATGGGTTAAGCCTTCCCCCATTCCCTCTAGTGGCTGTCTCATTGACAGCCGCTAGAGGCGCTTGCGTGCTTCTCACTGTGATTTTCATTGATAATGCTTTCCTATGCGACCGGCTGAATGCGCGCGCATTCAGCCGACGGGGAGGAGAGAAGGAGGATCGGAGGAGGAGAGCTCCCCGCCCAGCGCTGGAAAAAGGTAAGTTTCCCCCTTCCAGAGCCAGGCGGGAGGGGGTCCCTGAGGGTGGGGGCACTCTCAGGGCACTATAGTGCCAGGAAAACGAGTATGTTTTCCTGGCACTATAGTGGTCCTTTAATGTCGCTTTCTGAAAGAGGAAGTGCTTAGGTCAAAATACCTCATGTACATCCTACTCTCTTGTGATTGGTTCTTTTTTCTATGTGTTTCTTTGCTGCTGTGGAGCTAGTAAAGAGAGATTATACAAAATACTCGCCTCCTGTCATTACTAAAATTAAATTATTAGTACATTAAAGCTAGTATAATCTTCAATTTTATCACATGACAGGAGGCTTCGTATTTTGCATTATCTTTCTTTACTAACTCCATAGCAGCAAAGAAAAGAGTGACAAAACTGAGAACCAATCACAATGCAGTATAGACGCACACCTAAAAGGAGAGGAATATATTACCTGAGAATATAAATACAGGTAGTTATAAATAGGTAGTTCCCTCCCTCAATGGATGAAAGTGGTATTCAAAGGTTCGTGGTGTACATTTCCTATGTGGAAAATACATAATAATACATAGTGAAATCTGTATAGCACACAAATAGGAATGGAAATGTATAGGCTGAAACCACTCACACTTTTTTGAGCCACTTAGAAGTGGGCTCAGAACTTATCTCGCCTTTATGTCACTTCACAAGGACAATAAGAGACTCTTTTTCCTTTCCAAATGGATCCACTATGTAGTGAGGGTCCTTCGGTGAAAATTGGAGTCAGGAGTCAGGAGTAGAAAAATGTACAAAACAAAAGTTTTATTTATACATAAAATAAATAAAAAGATGCACAACGCGTTTCAACCATTTTCGTCTGGTCTTCCTCAGGTGCTGTTCAGTATAACACTGCAGCCGGTATTGTTTTTATATGTATCAAGGGTGGTTAACATAAATAGATAATTTCAAACATCTGAAACATCTGAAACAAAAAAACAACACCCATATCCTTATATGGTCCTAGCCGGATGTGTGTTGCCACCTCCAATATGGCCACACATCCGGTCCGGACATTTCCTATACAGGGACATTCATATAACCACAAATCCATATAAAGGTAACATAATAGAGAATAACTTTAAATTCTTTCACTATTTTCCAAGTCAGACCGTACGGGATAGTCTGCCCGCAAAGTCTCTCGGTAAGTGAGAGGGCAAAAAAGTGCGTTCAGTCCGTTCGGTATGTCACTTCCTGTGACGTATATATCCAGTCCGTCGCATCGCTTCATGTGATATGTATGTCCCATTGCCGCTTGCGTCACTTCCGGTTTCGCCGTGTATGTTTCCCATAGTTCATTGGAGATTCTAATAAGTCCCTCATAGTGCCGTAGAAGCCATTTTGCAAATGGTCAAAAAGTCATTTAAGAGGGCAAAAGGACAAAGAAAATATACATATATATATAAGAGATTGAAATAAGCACATATTATATACTTAAAGTGCACAGAGAGAAAAGGATACAATAAAATAAAAGAAGAGAGGGGAAATATATTAATAATGTCCATTCTCTGTTCAGTATAAGCCCAGCGCTACAAATAAATAAATAAAAACCTAACAACATTTAAAAATACACTGATTTTTCACATGGATAAAAACAATGATAAGATCACATAGTAAATATGATAAAAAACAAGTAGTCTGTCAAGAAATTATGCAATAATAAGAGATTACATACTATAAAATTTTATTAATTTCAAAATCTATATTGAGCCCTTTTGGGATTAAGGTGCATAGTTCAAAAATCCATTTGGATTCTTTATAGCTGAGCATTTTAGCAACATCACCCCGGAAATGTCCGGACCGGATGTGTGTCCATATCGGAGGTGGCAACACACATCCGGCTAGGACCATATAAGGATATGGGTGTTTTTTTTTTTTGTTTTTTTTTTGTTTCAGATGTTTGAAATTATCTATTTATGTTAACCACCCTTGATATATATAAAAACAATATTGGCTGCAGTGTTATACTGAACAGCACCTGAGGAAGACCAGACGAAAATGGTTGAAACGCGTTGTGCATCTTTTTATTTATTTTATGTATAAATAAAACTTTTGTTTTGTACAGTTTTCTACTCCTGACTCCTGACTCCAATTTTCACCGAAGGACCTTCACTACATAGTGGATCCATTTGGAAAGGAAAAAGAGTCTTTTATTGTCCTTGTGAAGTGACATAAAGGCGATATAAGTTCTGAGCCCACTTCTAAGTGGCTCAAAAAAGTGTGAGTGGTTTCAGCCTATACATTTCCATTCCTATTTGTGTGCTATACAGATTTCACTATGTATTATTATGTATTTTCCACATAGGAAATGTACACCACGTACCTTTGAATACCACTTTCATCCATTGAGGGAGGGAACTACCTATTTATAACTACCTGTATTTATATTCTCAGGTAATATATTCCTCTCCTTTTAGGTGTGCGTTTTTACCTTTCTTTTGTGTCATTTTGTTCTTTTTGAGTATATGTAGTGGCAATATACTTTGGTTAAGCAGCACCCTGATTATTGGATATCCTGAAGCGCCATCTCTGTACTTTTTCTATTTGTTTTACAATGCAGTATAGAGTATAAGAGGTGTAACACATGACATCATTTCCTCTTCACAAGCTAAGTACAAAATTTGGTTTCTCATTATTCAGCTCATATATATTTTACATTGTCATTATTTTATATAGCTGTGACTTTGTATATTTACCTATACTTATTCCTATTTATATATATATTTAACTATTGACCCCATTTCGGGGGGGCCAGCCCCTATCCCCTGAGGTCTGCCCCCTTCGTTTCCTCAGGAACCTTCCTCAGAGACCTTTCTTCCCCTATTTTTTACCTTGAGACTTTGCCTCTGGCTTCCCAGGTACATTCCACGGCTTCCCGCCGTCCATACCCCCTTTAAGTTTTTTTCCCCCTCTCTGCCTTTCTCAGGCAGTGAAAGGTAAGTTCTATCCTAAGTGACTCGGTCCAACTTAGGCGTTCTCTGGTCTCCGTTGTTGGCTGAATTCAGGGAAGAACGATGGAGCAAAATGAAACACGCACACAGTTTGCTTTTCCAAAGATCTTCAAGTGTATTATAAAAAGGATGGCATATTTATACAGTATTGATCATGAACTTTGACATACATTGGTCAAAATAAAAGCGGAAATAGCTGATTTTTGCAGAAGACCACATTTCTTGTGGTCAAGCATGTCTTATTTTCCATGATACTTTTCTTGGAAGCATCAGGTCAACGTTACTTTGCGGATGCGTCTGTTGATTCAAAAGCAGAAGTGATAAATCAAAAATAACCTGTGGTTTGTCTAGTTTTTTAGCTCTTGTGTAAATCTTAAGAAAGAGAATATAATATCAGAAATTATAGATGAGAATCATTAACCCCTTCCCTTCATTCCCCTCTTTGAGCAAGACCTTGCTCATACCCCATTTAAGGAATCTTGGTCAGACAACCAGCCATCTGCCATGGTATATTCAGGATTGCTAGTCAATCCTGCAGGTCTTTCATTATGTCTTCGGCCACTATTCCCATAGCATAGGACTAGTCATCTGACCAGTACCACAAACTTATAGATCTGTATCAGCATGTTCACCATTGCTTCGGTTATGTGTATACATTTGGAGATACTCATCATAGCAAGCTGGGGATTTTACAGGAACAGTGTTGCATGTATGTTTGTAAATGCAGAATACAATAGTCTTAAAAATAGCATAAACAAGTAGAGCAAGGACCAGAACCATAACAATAATTATTGCAAATAGCTGACATGTTAACCAATTTTAAACAGACTAACCAACATGCCATCTGTATCATAAGCCCTAGGTAAATATGGGCAAAGTATATTATTCCCAATAGTTGTTTTCCTCCTTCATCCACGCAAGTGGGCGCATATAGTCAAAGTGGGAATAATACCTATCCCCCGTCCAATGACCCGGGTCTAGGATTACCAGTCCACCCGATGATCTTTGGCCAGGCAAAAACCCAGTGGCAAAAACTCATATGTGAGGAAAAAGAACATTTAGGGAAAACCTGAGTGGGGGCCGCGATCGTGTTAGACATGTCATCCCCTCACAGTTGACACCACTTATGACTTATAATACCCGCACCTGTGAGTACATAGCTTGGGTATTGGGAGGAATTGGGAAACACTTCTTACATATTAATTCATGAGATAAATTATAATCTAGCTTGAAATTCTGACAATAATCACAACCAGGACCTTGCGTCCTATATCTTTTAACCTTTTCGCTATTCCAAAAGTCCAGTCAAAACCAGTCATATCCTCACGCAGTTCCTCAAAACATGGGAATCCATCCTTGGCACACTCAACATACATCAAAGATACACATAGTACATCCATCCCTGGGTCAGCTAACACTTCCTCTCTCTCTGGCTAACTCTACAAAAATAAAAATAAAATTAGTTCAATAGTTCAGCATAGTCCAGAAAAATAGAATAAGTCTTTCACAGAGTATAAAGAAATCAGTTTAGACACCAGACATTTTGTTCCATAAAAATGGCTAAGGGTAGCAATATGGCTGACAACAAGACAATGTCAGCTTCCAAATAGTTCTTAGTTCTTCTTTTGTTTGCTGGATTTTCACCACAAAGCTCTGTGCAACACCCCAATGGTTGAAAGGGTTATTACAGAACCAGCGGCATTAGACAGCACTGCACCTTCAGGACTTTCCAGGTTCTTGCGTGCAAAGTTTATGTCCTCATAAATAAGTATCTCAGTTTCTTCGGCCTGCATGGATAATGACCAAACAGATGTAATTGCAAAATACTTATTGCATGGTCAGCCAGAGAGATTGGTGTGTAGTCCCAGAAATCAGGCGGCACAAACACTCCAGGACGGTCTCTACAATCATACAAACACAAGGATCAATACAACATGAATTAATTACCTAGGCTAAAACTTAAATTAGAGATTAAGGTTAAACCCTTAATTTGTGTAACATGTACTTCTCTTATATTTTATGCAATCTGTCTTCTATGAAGTTTTACATAATACCTCTTTGGAATGCCTTTGTACGGATGAGAGTAGCACTCACTCTATAGAAATCCTTGTTAGGATGAATATTAAAACACTAACATATACATATGGGGATAATTCCCAATAAAACTCTGTTCCTAAACTGGAACCTTGATCTGATATTCAAAATTAATTACTTTAATAATCCCGAATAATTCAATACTCTTGGATTAACACCTAAAACTATATAAAATATTACAAACCTGAACCACCTGTGTATTAGGCTGGGGCTGTTGGGTGTGGGTATAGATTGGAAGCTGTGGTTGATATTGAGGAATCTGTGGGGGTGGTTTTGGGCACTCATTTTTTCAGTGACCCTGCTATCCACAATTGCTGTATCTTCCCAAAAAAATCATTTGGGGTCAAAAAGGGCCAGTCACAGACCAACAAGGAACAAAAGTGAACAAAGAGGAAGCATATTCCATATGCAGGTCGGGATTACCTAACTCACACCCCCTCTTTGTGTACCCCTCTTTGTACCACACAGATTTACTATTAATAAGCTTTTAAAGGTTTCATATAAAGCAAGGTTGTCTAGGGGTATATACATATAGGCATAGCCTTCATATAGGGCTTGCAATACTGACAGTCTGTGTCATGAGCATAATGTAGACATGCGGTTAGGTACTTTTCCATTATTATAATATATTGAAAACACTAAGACCTTGCAAATTTTTAAAACACATATTGCTTCCTGTACCTGGGGCCATGCAAGGATGTAATTGGGACATATTTCTAATTGAGTATCAAAAATCTAACCACAAAACTAAATGTTATACGCTTATCAAGAAAACAAGTTTAACCCGTTAGTGCGTACTTTGGTTAGCCTCTTTGCATAATTTGGCTCCTAGTGAGATTATTATATTATTTATTAATCCTCTTCTGGATCTGCAAAATGCTTTCAATTTACCCATACAAATATAATACAGTAGTTTAGGAGATTAAAATTACCTCACTTATAAATTTCCGAAATTGTCTTATCTCTATTAAAAATACCATTTTATTATTACCCCATAATCAATGAGGCATTCTAGATGAATCTTACTTTGACACAAACAATGCAATATACTTTAAAAGTAGAGTTAACTCTGAGCTGGACAATACTCCCCTATTAGAACTCCTTTATGAGGGAGAGACATCTTGTCCATTTATCCTTTTTATCAGTAAAAGAATGACTTTCAGGATTAATCAATTTGCAAATGGAAACGTGGATCCACGATTTGAACAGCAGAAGTTTGCGGGGCCCCTTTCACGTGGGATGTAACAAGCGCTTTTCTTGCTCCAGGAGCGATAGCATACAATTGTTTCATTCTAGCCGGCTGGACAGCATTTCACCTTTTGTAAAAACACTAAATGCTTGCGTTAATGATATGCAAATCACTCTGCTAGTTAAACTCCTACACAATGGACAATAAAATACATGAAACACATAACACACCAATTCATTTCAAACCATATAACTCATACTCAGCATCCAATGTAATATTACATGTCATCTCACAAAACAGACATCTCACAAAACAGACATCTCACAAAACAGACGTAGTAGAAACACATAATGGATACCCAGCAGATATGCCAATACAGAAAACACATTCATGGGCACGCAACTACACACTCTGTGTCCCTCCTAGGAAACACGGGTAGACACAATATGAAAGCAGTCTTAAACTAACACCTCCAAATCTCCATTCCCATATAGCTATATCAGAACACAACACAGAGCCTCTCTAAGCTCATAGAACTACTCTTGGCCAAAACGCTAGTATTCAACAGCTAATAAAACAGTTATTTGCTGGGTTATTTGACTGGCATTTTTATCAGTATCACTAGACTGAGACAAACTGATTCAAATATAATTTAAAACAATACAGCAACATATAAATTAAACCACTCTCCAGTTAAGCTGCACACTTCACACATTATCACAATCACCATTTACACAGAATAAACAGTTAACAGCTGTACTCAGAACATATTATTGGAAGGTATACAAATTTTAGTTTGTATTAGATTTATTTTAGGGATTCTTATGTATACTTTTTATTTATTTATTTATTTTAATTCTTATTAACTTCATTACTTTAATCTACTATAGTATTGTATATAGAGAAAGGATCCATTTATATAGCGCGCTCATAACTCAAATATTTGTATGAAACTTCCATTAACTAACCTGAGATGATACTGCATCAACTTAAATCTTATAGAAATTGAGCAAACATTTGGACCAGATTACACAGACATGGTTTCACCAGAATCTTACAGAACTCTCAGAGACTTAAAAAATTTATAGACCGGTCAGTCTCCAAGAGCCTTAGTAACACAGGTAAAAACCTTTGTCCATGATCTCTGATCCAGGCTATATACCACAATTTAAAAGAACATAACACATATAATGTTAGACACAGAAGACACAAAACATATGCAGTAGTTATTACACTGGATCATTTAAAAGGAATCTGTTGCAATAAAAAGGTTAGTTTACAGCGCAAAATGAAGCATGTGTTGGACCGCTGAAAATGTAAATGTTGCTCTTATTTACAAACAAAAATCATATTTACAGTATGGATCCTCTGCAACAAACACACAGGGCATGGAAGATGTGCTGATTGGTGTTCTATACAATTAATCCCATATGGGGAATTAACTTTCAAATACTAATGAAGTGACTTTTTGTCTCAGTTCTAAAAATACTGAGCTCATCATGCAAACAATGCAACACACTTACACTATCCCACTCTCATAGAAAGTGTAGTGGGCTTATGGTATTAAAGTAACAATCATACCAGGCACACAGATCCCATGTGAAATAACTTGCAATAAAGCAGAGTAATAAACTTATACTTCTATGCGACAGAAAGAATAAAGCAAAAGATTTAAGTAGGTCTATCAGGCAAAACCTGCGAGCTAGTTCTTTTCTAATATACAGTACTGGTATCTTATATATATGTATATATATTGGTCACTCAGGACCTGAACTTACATTTCCCATACTGCTGACTCAGGGTGGACACACTACTAACTTACCAAAGTGTGTCCCCAATATAGACAATCACCCAATTGATGGAGAATCATTGTTTGCAATAAAGACATGGACACTACAAATGTGCTTTAACAAGATTCTCAGTGAGTATATTTTCAGGGTTAGCATATAAAGCAAAAAGAGTTTAACTATTTCATATCCTTACAGTCAGTACTTAATGATTATAAACCTTGTTTAAGCATAAAATACATTTGAACAAGAAAAGTTAACTACTTTATATTCTTGCATGGTAATTTCCCATTCCTAGGACAAATCTTTCAAACACTTATTCACACTCACAACCCACTTAAGCAAAAGGATGACAACTAGGGACCAGAGAAGGTAAGTTTCAAATACTTGTATATACTTTGTCTCTAACTTTAGTATATTCACTTATATACTAATAAATCACCTATATCTCTTTATAGGCAGGCACCTTAAAACACTACAGTCTAGTTCCCTTACTTAGACTGGTCTAGTTCCCTTACTAGACTGATCTCTGGACCTTTATGTAAACTGAGTCACAATACATGTATACATAAAATAACCTTTCCTAAATCTAGATGTAGACTTACAAAACCATGGGGATCATAGATTCAGGGCGTCAAAAGAGACACAAGGAATTACTACTCACCCGAAATGGTTTGGCTACATCCCACCGCTGCCACCAAGCTGAAAGGTAAGTTCTATCCTAAGTGACTCGGTCCAACTTAGGCGTTCTCTGGTCTCCGTTGTTGGCTGAATTCAGGGAAGAATGATGGAGCAAAATGAAACACGCACACAGTTTGCTTTTCCAAAGATCTTCAAGTGTATTATAAAAAGGATGGCATATTTATACAGTATTGATCATGAACTTTGACATACATTGGTCAAAATAAAAGCGGAAATAGCTGATTTTTGCAGAAGACCACATTTCTTGTGGTCAAGCATGTCTTATTTTCCATGATACTTTTCTTGGAAGCATCAGGTCAACGTTACTTTGCGGATGCGTCTGTTGATTCAAAAGCAGAAGTGATAAATCAAAAATAACCTGTGGTTTGTCTAGTTTTTTAGCTCTTGTGTAAATCTTAAGAAAGAGAATATAATATCAGAAATTATAGATGAGAATCATTAACCCCTTCCCTTCAGGCAGGGCACAGACGTTTCGGTTTTTCAACCGAACGTTTCTCGTTCGGCAGTTTGGCGCGATCGCCTTTTACTCGCGAACACCCGCGTTTTTCTGTGCATTCGCACAGACGATTCGGTTTTTTTCTACCGAACGCTTCAGTTCGGCAGTTTTGCGTGATCGCCTTTTTAGGCGCTCGCGACCAATATTACTAGGCGCACGTTCTGCTGTTTTAACCACACGAACGCCAGGCGTCTAGTTTTGCCGCTCAAACTTGGGGGAGGTTCTATCCTCCCCATACGAACGGCTGTTAGTCAGGCAGCCATCTTAAAGGGATAAGCACTGTCAGCTACCTGCTCCAGCTATCAACTGCAAACAACAGGAAATCTTTATTACATCCTGCCTCTTTACTCAGTGGGACCAAGTCAGGTTAGTGCCTAGCACTTGGGGTTGGTTTAAGCCAGTTGGACTGTACCTTATTCTGGCCAGGGCGAGCCCCCATTTTGTGCTGCTAAGCGGACCTGTTCATGCAGGATTCTGATTACCTGGGTGAGCCCCAGTGACACAGCCCTCTCATTATCACTACTACGACCTACCGGTCTCTAGTCTCTTAGGTTAACCATTACCGCTACCATACCACCCCTGGTCCCCAGGCCTCTCCACTAATTGTGCTTAAGTGCCCTCACGCAAATCTATCGGGTGAGCCCCGAATACCTATTCCAAATAATGGAGGAATCACAAACCTCCTCAGACCTTCAGGCCATGATCACAGCAGCTGTGGCTGCAGCTATGGAAAAAGGCCTCTTCTAAGTCACTACCGGCAGATCTAGACACCCCTAAACCCATCCCTAAACGGGTTCACTATAGAGCGGACTCCGAAGACTCTGACTCCTCCAGAGAACGCTCCCATCAGCCTAAACGCCATTGGAAGGGCGAGGCCACTGCACCACGCAAATCTAAGGGTAATGCCCCTGATAAACGCAGAAAAGCCATGGCTCGTACTACCCACGACCCCACACAGGTTTCCTCAGGTGAGGAAGACGCAGAACCCACACATGCACTAGCTGTGCTGGATGAATGGCAGGCAGCGGCCTCCGACCAGGAGGACTCCAATAGCGACTCCACGGCCAACTCTGACCCTTATTTCATAGGGGAACAGATTCTGTGTGAGCCCCAGAACTCCATGGCTACATCCATGGATAACCCACAGGAGGGCACAGAGATTTTCCTTGACAATTCGGGCCTCCAAATGTTTGACCCGAGAAACATCCGTCATCCCCATTCGGAAGAATGGTCACCACCCGAACATTTGGCAAGGTTTATGCACTTCTGGCTCAGGAAATCTCTGGACAAGGAAGTAAGGAAACGGGTGAGATCAGAATACCCTCAGCCTAGCCTACCAGACAAGGTGACGCACACCCCCGAATTTGACCCTCTCATGACTACTTTCATGTCCCAAGGGGGTCGGGACCCGCGCAAGGGCATTTAGCGCGATTTTAAAGGAGCGCAGGACAAACTGCTAGACGCCATCGGGCCGCTAGCTAGAATTATGGATATGGCGGATGACGCCTATGAGAGGGCTGACAATTTTACCCCAGATACGGTGCGTGAGTGGGCACGAGGTACCCGTGAATGGGCACAGAGGTGTTTCTGTTTCCTAGGGAACACCAATGTAGCCCTCTCTTCAGAGAGGCACCGATCAGCACTTTACTGTCTCAACGAAAAACTGGTCGAACTGGGGGACAAAGAATTAGGCCCCTTGGCACAGGGTAAATTGTTTGGAGAGGCATTCCTTAAAGAATTGAACAAAAGGGTCAATATATTTACGTCCCTTAACAAGGCGCAAACTTCGATGCGGAGGTGTTTTTGGAAGGGCTGGATGGTAGAGGGGCCATGCCGTCAGCCGCTTTTGACCATCCGGCCCCCGTACAACAAGGACTCAACCATTCTACCCAGACTCGTCTACCCGACATAGATTCCACCAATTATGGGAACCAATTCATGGCCAAGGCAGCCGAGGACGCTCCTGTGCAAGATTCTCCAACGGTAAGTCAACATTCTTCCTTGCCTCTAACCTCTTGCCATATCGCAGGTCGTGTTTCTCTTTTTTTCCAGAACTGGGCATACCTATCTACAGACACGTGGATCCTCCAAACGGTGCAGGGCTATCAAATAGAGTTCGACTCAACCCCGCTCCAGCAGGCCCCTCCACGTCCAATCCAGACTACACAGGCAGACGCCCGTCTCATAGACTCGGAACTACGAGAACTTCACGCCAAGGTTTATATCCAACCAGCTCCGGACTTAACAGGTTTCTACAGCAATATCTTCCTGGTCAGAAAGAAAACCGGTGAATTTCGCCCCGTTATCAACCTCAGGGAGCTCAATTCTCACGTGGTATACCGACATTTCAAAATGGAAGGTATCCACCTTCTCCAGGACTTGCTTCGACGCAACGACTCGTCTGGACCTCAAGGATGCGTACCTTACCATTCCGGTACATAGAAGCAGCCGCCCCTACCTCAGCTTCTTCTGGCACGGGACACCCTGGCAATTCACCTGCCTCCCGTTTGGCCTCAGTTTGGCCCCATGGTGCTTCACCAAGATTATGAAGCCAGTAGTGGGGAAACTCAGAGCTCAAGGCATAAGCTGCATCATCTACCTCGACAACATCTTGATCTTCGACGAGGATGCAAGAACTCTGAGGACACATACGAACTACACAGTACACCTTTTCGAGTCTCTAGGTTTCGTCGGCAATCATCCCAAGTCCGCAATGATTCCGACTCAATTAATTCAATTCCTCGGATTTGTAATAGACTCCACATCATACACTCTTCACCTCCCGGCCACAAAAATTACAGCCATCCGCAGAGAGATCCGGAAAGTCCTTCAACGGACAACCATACCCCTATGACTACT